ATTTAAGACAAAACATAAGCGAAAATCGATAACCTACATTTTCAGCATCGAAAAAGGAGCCCAAATAAAAGTAAATAAAAAGTCCACATCAAGAACAAAGGCAGGAACAACAACAATTACGGCTTGGAAACACATACATATACGTACTTCTATCAACCCTCAATTACGACAGCGAATTCCTCTTACGGCTGCATGTGTATTTTTTAATTAGAACAAAGCGCAGGGCACAACAGGGATAAACAGGACGCAAAGGATATGCAGACGAGCTGACGAGCTTGTCAAGCCAAGCGCCAAAGGAAGAAAGGACAACTTGAAAGGTAAGTTCATGAACGGGTCGACAGTACAGAAATCATTTATGCAAATAATATGAAAAATATATTTATGATAAATAATATAATCTAATCATCGATTTGAATTTCCATCTATGCTCGGGAATCGCAATAACTTTAGTTATATAAGCAATATCACTGTCTTAAGCAAACCCGAGTCCTAAAGCTCAACAGTTTTTCAGCTGCGAGTATGAATGATTCGTTCATTTTTGTGTATCTCTGCATTTCTAGGTGTTTTCACAAGCCAAACAAAGTCACGTGTCCTTTGACAACATGTGAGCCCAAAGGATATTCGGCAAGATGTGCCTGGAAGAAAAACTCCAGCCGAGGCCATTGTGAGCTGGTTCTTATGTGTGCTCCTTATTATTTGGGATAAAAGGGTGCTGCGTGTCCCACGTCCTGTTGCCTGCGTCCTCTGCCCTGTGTCCTGTATCCTGTGTCCTGTGTCCATGTCAGACGCATATGCTAATTAGGCAATTAATATTTGTGGGCGAGACAACTTAATTTATAGACCAAGAAAGCATATTTCTGTTATGAAATGCGATACGTTCGTAGCGTGTCCTTCTGTAGCTCCGAGTCCTTGGAGTGGGTGTGAGTGGACGAGCGTCATGTGGCAAGACAATAAACTTATCACATGTTGCCAACGCATGGGACTCCCAAGTCCCAAAAACTTTTGCAACGAGTTTGATTTGCGGTCATGGCCCCACATATCCTGCCATGTCCGGGATATGTCCTGGCAGGCGCTGTCAGCCACTGATATGCGGCTCAGTCCACAATGCTTGCCCAGCACGGCAAATCATTTGAGCATTTCATCCAGTCGACGCACAGTCAGCAATAATATTTTCTTAGACACTATTTTTGACTGCATGCCACGCATAACTTGTGAGTGAATGAGATGGAGCCAGGTCTGTGGTCACCCGCTTGCCTAGTGGAGCGTGTGCAGCAAGATGTTGGATTTTGGCTGCGAAGATGCAAGCACGCACTCAAATCTTGTATCTCCAGGCGACATTTGTCAGACAGGCAGACGAAGATTGAGCTGGAGTCGACTGCGAGTTGAGTTGGGCTGCGGTTGCCGCTCAGCTCAGATTTGATTAAGTTTGTTTGCTCAAAGGCTGACAGTCAACTGGGCAGTCGGGTAACATGATACACATTCACATCTGCAAAAAGAAAGCACCGAACTAAAGACGAGCAAACTGTGAGTTTTCAAAATGTAAGAAATATTCTTCAAGATCTACTCTAAAGATTCAGCTGAGCCTGTCTCTCAGAAGAAGGGTATAAAATGATTTCCCATTTTCAATGGATTCAGGGTATAAAAACACGAATTAAATAAAATACTAGGCAATCATTATTATGTACTGTTGGAATGTTGTAAATATTAATTCCCTTCACTAACTATATAATCTCTGTTCAAGCATCGATAAGTCTACTTTCCATCAGCGCAGAAAAGCCGCTCAGCTCCAAAATTTTCACGCGGATACAAGTTAATCGCAAGTAAAATAACTCCGAGCCGTTTTGCAGCTATCCCGAGAAAGAGAGAGAGGAAAAGAGACAGACAGAGAAAGCGAAAGGAGATAAGTAATGTAAACATTCGGCTCGACGCGACTCGCTGCAAGTAAAACTTTTCCATTGAGCCAAAGCTTGTGTTACCCGTACGTATACGTAATGTGGCAATAAATGTTGCGCTCGATTAAAAAGCCATCGCATACCTTTTGGCTCGGCGCCTTTACGAGCCGCCAGCGCAGCGAGGCAGATGGGGCGCTCCTATCTGAAAAATCTGAAATCTGTTGGGCCAACAAAATAAAAAAGAAATTGTGTAAGCTCTAGACGCGCAGCGTGGCAGATATGAAAAGCAATGTTGTTAACGCATCTGCCACAAGACACATCTCGCAGACACAATGGGAACACACAGCCCCAGCTTCCCCACATGCTCCCGCCTTCCCGTCCTGCACGCAGAAAAGTTGCTGCTTAAGTAAGTGCTTGTAATTTAGCCGCAAGACTTTTCAACCGACGATTAAGAGAAGCCCAAAGCTGCCTCTGGATGGAAAGGGCTCATGTGTGACAGCTGTGAGGCCTTAAGAAGTATAGCGGGAGATATCTCAGACATCTTAATACTTGTAATGGAGTGTAGAATAGCAATGTGTTTGTTCATAATTACCCTAGTGGAAGGACATACGAAGGAAACGAAAACTAATCTGCTTCAATGCTTAAGCTATTCAAATATTATACAAAGAAATAATAAAAATTTTTGCTTCAGATAATTATGCAAAAGAAAAGAAATAATCCAATGTAATGTAATCCATAGATTTATCCAAAATGGCGATCTACAGTTATTCATATTATATGTATATTTACCACAAGTATTTTAATAAATCAATAATTTAATGTATTGAGTGTATAGGTCTTACCTCTCAATGAACTCCTTGAATTCCCTGCCAGAACTCCACTCTTATTATTTCTATATCTATTCAAGCATTTAAATGTGACTTTCATCCACAATCGCCGCTTGCTGCTGTTCACTCCTGCAAATGCATTCAGTCAGCACCCTGAACACGGCCAAACACAGCTCATATTCCCTCGGGTGCTGCACACGCCAAGCGCTGCATTTGCCCCTCCTGCGAGGGCACTGGAGAGGGCAGGCCACAGTCGTGGACAAATGGAAACACGAAGTAAATGAAAGTGTCATGCAACCAATTGGCAACAAATGCGCTGACCCCTGTCCAGGGGCAAGGGACAAGCGCCAGTGGCTGACTGCAGGCACGTGTCCTGCTTGGTGGTGGGACTGCGGCAGCAGAGGAGCGAGCCAGGATACAGTCATGTGCATATGTATATGTTCCCTCTAGGGTTAGGCAAACCGGTTGGCTGACGGTGGCAATAGAGTCACAAATGACCTAAGGTCAGTTTTAATGTTGCGTTAAATTGGACGAGGCTCATTTACAAATTGATCGAGCGGGCAAAATGGGCTTTAAATAATCACAAGCAGGATGCAGGACGAAGGCGGAAGAAGGTTGAAGCCATTCAAGTGGTCATTTGATTGCCCGACACCGCGGTTGGTGGTCAGCCGCCGTAAGTGGATTGCTTACACATGTTTTCAGCAATGGCCTAAGTGGACAATGGACAACCGGTTTAAGAATAGCTGCTGACAAATATAGAAATGCCGGAAGGGGTCTCTCGCCCGGCCCCTCGCCGCTGCTGCGATCAGCCCTCAAAGTCGGAAAAGCCTGCGAGCTGGCAACAAAGTTGAAGCATCATTTGGGCAGAGCTCGTAGAGGAATCAGCGAAACGCAAACGTTACAAAATAACAAATAATAGTAAATAACGGAAAACTGTGCTGCTGAGTGACTGGCACATACCCTGTAGAGAGCCGTTCGCACACCTCTTAATTATAATACAGCTCATAGTGGGTATATTTAGGTTCATCCTTCCTCTATCCAACTGCACAAGAGCAATATGCCCCTTCATCCCCGTTTGCAGTGGGAAGAACAAGCGCAGAAAAAATGCTCTGATACTTGAATATATACATATATATTTACATATATTTATATTTTTTAGTTTTGCGCTCTTTTATTCCAGCGCCCATTTTATTTAGCGAGTTTTAGATTTCACTTATTTTTACTCAGTGCGTTTTGAATCCTTTTTCATGCTCGTTGCTAATTAAGGGCACGTAAACTGTGAATTTGTTGTTTGCGGCTGCTGTTTGGGCAGCCAGAAAAGTGGGGGAACGAAGGAAGCTTTAAAGCAGAGCACAAGGATGCAGTTGCATGAGAAACATTGCGAACTGAAGTCTAAATTATGGAAACTACAATGAAAAGCAGCGAAAAGCTGAAGGAAATAATGTTGATTGAATAGCGGGAGGCATAGGACGACATAAGTAGTGGAGAGCACTAGCTATTAAATAGAGATAGAGAATTGGATTGACTGTAAAAGTTAGAGTTGCTGAGTAAACTTATGAATATTAGAATTATATTCACAAGAGCGAGCGATATAAGAGAGCTAATCAGAGATTTTACTACTCACAGCAACTAAATGAAACTCTTCGAAGATTCGTTTACTACGATAGTAGTAGCTCATAGAAGATTTCTCTGATTTCCCTCATCTAATTTATATTACAATTTCAATAACAAGTATATATATTTAGTAATAATGATCGAAGGGTGCCGTCTGCTGTCAGCCATATTTGATTTTCAGATTTTCAGGCAGATCTCCTGCCACAAATGGAAACGATCAGTCACACATACAACACACACGAACCACATAAGAAACACTCGCCAAACACGCCTGTCCACGCCAAATTGAATTGAACAATGTTACACTTAGATCCTCTCGAACATGCGGAGAGTTCCAGTGCAAATGAGACGCTGATTCGGGTGCGACGCGCCGTAAACTTCGTGCACACTTGGAATGACGTGAGCTACTCCAGATATTGCCGAGCCTCATTAATGCGCAAAAGTATGCATATGTTCACTGCACTCCTAATCGTAGAGCCAATGCTACCGTCACGACGCAATGACGGCCAGCAGCCGCGAAATGTGCGAGTTCGTCAAAAGGCAAGCGAGCTGCTCCTACTATGTGGAGTCCGTAGACCTGCTGCAACTGTTCTTCTGCACCTTCGGCTTGACCTGGGACACCAGCGTTATCTTTGTGTTGGGCTTTCTTTACCTGATCCTATTCTATTCGGTGTACATGATAGCAAAGTATTTGTGAGTATGCACATCGACCTATGAATATACATATATACACACACACACGCATGTCTCGCGATTAGCTGCGTGCCCAACTATGTGACCTTGCTGGAGCTGCTTCCCATATCCGAGTACACATACGGCTTTGTGTTCGTCGGGCTCTATCGCATGCTACCCGACTACATAGACTTTGGGATGAACTGCAGGTACCACAAAAATGCGGAGGGCACATTGACGCTGGGCAAAATGATGGGCGACAACCTGCGCTTCTTTGTCGTGGGGATCATGATGCTCTGCAACCGCGGCTACCAAGTGAATGGCATGCTGTGGTGGATCAATATGACCATTATCATCATAGGGTACATCTACATGACCTTTGTTGTGGACCTGAAATACAGAGCGTTTGGCGCTCCCGACCTCCTCTATAGCGACGCCACTGCGCTGACCTTCAATGCCATTACGTTTCTGTTTCTGTTTGTGCTCATCCTCAGCTTGGCCCTGCTCCTCTCGTACCACAACCAAAACAGGCGGGCGAGTCTGTCAACTGCTGAGGCAGCGAGTGTGGACGCAGAAGCAACAGAGGTGTCCAGCGATGTGGATATGGACAATCAAACGCCCATACACGAGGAGCTCAGCACCTTTCGGATCTGGTGGAACTCTGTGAACGGCTATGCGAACATGAAGGAGCGGTATAAAGTCTTGACAATCCTATTTGTAAGTCGCGTTGAGCAGAGGGGATCCCCTCTCACATGGACGTTAGCCAACCTTTGGCTGATAAGCTTGCCTATTTGAGCAGGTTCCCGGCTACTTCCTGCTGGCCAACGTAATACCCGTAATGAGCAGGGAACGCCCCATGTTTGGCTGGTGCAAGATTGTCAACATACTAAGCTTTATGGTCACTCCCTTTTTGCTGATCAAGATGGGGACCGACACCCCGGCGTTTCTTGTGCTGTGGTGCATCACCTGGTTCATTGCACTGGTGGTGCTGATCTCGTTCCACCCACGGCGGCAACCGGGCCATTTCCTGATCTGTGTCTACTCCGCCCTTGGCGCGATCAACGGCAACAACCTCTTGTTCCAGATCACAGCGGAGATCAACAACCTCACCTGGCAGTACATGACCATGCGCTTCGAGTCCATAGGCGAGACGGTGTGCATCCTGTTCTTCAGCTCTGGCGAGGTTCTGTGGCTCGTCGTGCTGCTCCACAACCTGAACGAACGCAATCTAGAGGACGCAGCCTTCGGTGGAGTCATGAGCGTGGTCACCCACAACATATACATGGCTCTACCCTTGCTCGTCCTTCACCGCTGCTATACGTCCGAAAGCTATGTGAGTTGACTCTGTTCCCTCTTTGTCTATTCATACCTTCCTTCCGCTCTCCACAATCCACTATTCGCTCTTTGATTTCTCTTTCTCTCTTTCAGTTCGTGTTCACCGCCAAGTTGCAGAACTGTTATATATTCTTCCTGGTCCTCTTTTCTGGTGTCCTGCTGCACGTGTCGATGAGCTCGCATGAGCTCCGTCTGTCGCTCTTCTTCTACATAGTCGCCATGACCACCACATTCGTCTTATTTGAGTTTGCAGCCTTCTACGAGTGGGTGCACCCCTTTGGCTCACTCAGCTTCATCAAGCCACCCAGGGATGAAATATTCCGCTGGGCCTAAGGCCCCAAGCCACAAATGTATCCCAGGCTATGGAAATGAACTTAAATCATACATGGATGCCTCTGTCTACAATCTTAGCAGCTGGCGACTATTCATTTCGATCAAGAACAATCCGTTTCCATTAGAACCAAATTGAATTTCTTTCACAAAACATTCGCTTTGTCGATAGTTGTGAATACATCGCATTTAACACGATTTACGATTTAGGAACCAACGAAACCCAAAGTCCTAAAGCTATCCCAGAAGAAGAATTGAGACATGGCCAATGATAATAACTTATTAGACCGTGATACTTGAGCTGCGTTACTAATTGGCATCGTTATACATATAATTATATAAACTATATTCACTCAGCTCTTTCATTATAATATTTAGTCCAATTAAATGTAATCACTTAATGCCGTTCGTATCTGATGACAAGTTACATGTCGTCAGAACGCCTCTTCCCTTTAATTTGGATTGTCGCAAAAAAACAAAGCCCCAACAGAAACTTCGTGTCGAACGCAACTGACTTCGGCATACTCGCCCAGCTGCTTGAGAAGACGCCTCCTTTGCTGTCCTAGTTAGTTTGTATATGCTCCAAGTTGGGCGTGTGAAGCGTGTATATGCTCTCTGGATTCTCGAGCGAGCACAAACAAGAGCAACAGGGAATCGCTGCCTACTTCGCGGGGGTTGTCAGCCGATTCGAATGTGAATTGTGAAATGTGAAATGTGAAAAAAAGAAAATTGATGAACTTTTGTTTGCTGCCGTAAAGCAATATTTTTATATATTTTTGGGCAGCATTTCGCGCGTGCTTAGGGTGTTAGGTTAGTATTCAGAAGATTTTTAGATTATTAAAAAATGTTACAAGCTACACAGGAGGAGTCGGCAGAGGTGGCGGGGAAGCGAAGCAACGAGGAGATGCTACAGGATGATTCGAATGCGAGTTTTGGTCGTTTCTTTTTCTGTCCTTTGGTGCTTTGGCATATTTTGACATTTGCCAAATTAAAGTGAGTTTCAGACATTGTTTTTAGAGACAATCCTCATCTCTGCTATGCTCTGCCCGCTTTTATTGTACTGGCACCTTGTGCATTAAACATTAATTCATGCATAGAGTGTGAAGCAAAAAATAAATAAAAAATAGATATTAAGTAAAAGAGGGAATGAAAATAGGATTGCGAAATCAGCGCAGACAGAAGAGCGAACACTTCTGTTGACACGACACAGAGCAAATATGCGGCTGCAGCCGGCGATTCGCAGCCTGGCTCGTGTCTGCCCCGACTCCCCCTCTGGTGAATGCCTATGTGTTGAGTAAGTCGAGTGATAAAACATTTAGCCTCTTACCACTCCTCCTGTCTGCACTAATAAACGAAAAAGCGACAATTTGATTATCTAATGCTTATTTTTATTATATAAATAAATTAAACCAATTATTAATCATTTATATTGATTGAGCACACTGATTTAGTCGTAACAGTGGCAGAATATTCTATAACATTTTTCATGAAAATGTTAGGCAATATTGAAATTGAACTTAATTTGCACACCACTCATAGGTGGCGCTTCGTCTACAAATATTTCTGCTGTTGATACAAATCACACCACCTGTTGATGTCCATAAGCAACGTTAGGTTGCACCACTTGCTGTTATATATATATATATCCAAGCAGTCAATCGTAATGGTGGCACATTCTGGAGATTAGTAATACTCTAGATGGCGCAATACAGAATACGCAGATGCAGTTACACATTATATTGCCCTAGGTGGCGCCGTTCGTTAGGTTTCATTCTCAGCTAAACTAAAAATAAACCCCTAGATGGCGCTTTCGGGTTTGCCTTTTTAAATAAGCGCCAGGGAGCGTCCACTTTTGTACCTTTCGTACCTAGGTACATTTCGTGGAAACAAAGAAAGATAATTTCTTACCGGAAACGTTAGCAGCGTTTAGCAAGGACACAATTATCTTGACTAAAGAGTATTTATAAAACCGAAACCCTCTTGCGGTTAAAAAGTAAACGAAATTTCTTATCGGGTACTTTTACCACAGTGGCAATGGTGCCTTAATATAATAACAATACAAATTTTATGCAACCTGGAAAAACAAAGAAATTATAAGAATTTCCTAGCGAGCGTTTACGATGTCAGTCCTGGGTTTCTGCTATGTTGCAATCCTAGCTTGATTAGCGTAAAAATCTCCAGCTACTTTTAACAAAGTATCACCAAAAGAAAATTAATTACCGCGTGTTTTTAAGGTACTTTTTGAAAATATCCTTGGATATGTCATACTTGATTAGCCCTCGTACGTTAGCCCTGGAAGTTTTTAATTGAAAAGGAATGCACCGTATGTTGAAAGAATTTATTTATAATGAATTAGCCACTCGGAAGCAGCATTTTTATACCCTGAACCCATTGAAAATGGGAATTCAGGGCATAATGGTTTTGTTAAAATGTATGTAACAGGCAGAAGAAGGCGTGGCAGACCATACAAAGTATGTATATTCTTGATCAGGGCGACGAGCTGAGTCGATTTAGCCCTGTCCGTCTGTCTGTCCGTCCGTCCGTCCGTCTGTCCGTATGTTTGAACGCGTCGATTTC